CTCATACTCTTTAGCGTGGCCTCCCACAATCCCGGCCACGCCCCCTCTCTGAATCTACAAGCAGGTTCCCAAGGTTTCCCGATGGGCCCCCCTCTGTGACCTTCCCTTGGATTTCCCCCTCTCATTTCTATCATGGCCTGCTGACTTCAATACTGCCATACACCGCAGTTCCCCTTTTTTTGCCAGCAGCCAGCACTATGCCACTACACATGTGTAGTGACTGACTCAGAAACACTAAGAGTAGGAGGCACTCTATTTATTGAAAGCCTTCACAGTCCACACAAAGTAACTACAGCTCCCAGTCAGGACAGCTAGCAGACTGCCTGACTGACAACACCGAGCAGGTGAAGACGTAGACGGTGGCGAAGACTCCAGCAGCACGACGGGATCCCACTCCAGGCGACAGCCCCGAGCTCCCGCTCGGGGTCCCCTTTAATCCTCCCAGTGTGGCCTCGCTCCACCCCAGACACACTCCCTTTCTAGAACCTCCTAGCGGCTTCCTTCACCGGGCTCCTCCGTAATCTTTCCCCTACATCCCTCTCTCTGGTTTATCACGTGACCTGCTGTCAGTCAGGGCTGCTGCAACAGCAGATCCCCTTCTCTGCCAGCAACCAGCGCTATGCTGCGTAGTGACCAATTCTATGTCACTAAACATGTATAAGTTCAGCAATACCTCTTCTTCCACTTTCCATATGTTATATTATATACTGTAAATACTGTGTATTAAATATGTAGAAATATGGGCCCTTGTGAAGTATTTTTTTCCATTGAATGCCTCAGTGACTTACAGGTCACCATTCCTTCACAGCCAACCTATGGCCAACTTCCAACTGTCTGTCTTTGGCTATCCTTGCCACATCCGGGATTATATTATTGCAAATTCTAGTCAACTGTTTTGCCTATCAGTATCATTTTTGAATATGATTGCCAATTCCAGACCATTTTCATTGTTGTTATTTAGCCATTTTTTCCCTTGGATGGCCTCCAGTCCCGGCTTCCACTGATGTTGCTGTACAGGAGGATTTTGGAACTTTTTGTCAATCCTTAAAAAGGTATTTATTGAAGTAAAAAACGCTCGATCTATAATAAATAAATATCGCAACTGCACTATTCTTGTACAATTGTATTTACAATGTATAAACTATGTGCTCGTGATAACCTATGTTGTAAGAGTTATGTGTTTACGATTGTATTCACTTACTCAATATGGCATAGCCCACAGCTTCATTCACTGTAGACATGAAACTTCATGCCATGAAAATTCCTGCATCACACATTTCACTTAAATTATTAATAATGATGATGAACACTTCCACATGGCTCCCTAGTAGACATATTGTATGACAAGCTTATCTGCCAAGACCTATAACCTCACCTTTATTTTTTGTGGGACCCATAAAAGATATTCAAGCGCAGAGTTTACGAAAGGATAAGTTACCAATGTTGATAAGTTATCTCTCTTGTCAACTGTAGCTGCAGCGATAAAAGTACAACTCCTAAAATTATATTGCTTTAGTTTATAACCTGGCAATGTACTTAAATGCAATAAATGCAAGGTGATTTATCCTTTCAGTTTATTACTTCAGGAAATGTATATATATGAGGCTGCATCAGGACTGGGCGATGACTTTTAGCAGTTTTAAATTTAAACACAACAGTGAGTGTTCTTATTTGGTTCTTTCGGTAAAGTCACGTAGAATGAGAATAAAATAATAAATTGATAAAATAAAATAACACAATAAAATTCTCACGTGTTCATTAAAAAAAAAGTGGTTCGATTATGCAACTGTGCATCACTCAGAGACCTTGTACAGTCACTCATAAGGCAGAGGCGGGCCGTCAGCGCCAGCAAGGCCTCCTCTGCTGGCCTAGAGATTGTCAGAATCAGAAAATTATGTTTTTAAATATATATTTTCATTAATGCTATATGTATTTTACAAAGTTCGTTCCCATCAGTCTATTAACGTCATGTCATTGCTACTATCTCCCTCAGTTGCGCTGCTTTCAGTGCAGCTCATAAATTAGAGCTTTTATCCAATCAGATTTTCCACCTGTGCTGTCTCCACCTCTCCGGGTATAAAATCTACCCTGAGGCTTTCAGAATGTCGAGTGAATCCCCTCTGCTGTTGAAGCAAATGGGAACGATGTTGTTGATTGTCGTATTCTTTAACCAATCAGATTTCGAGTTTGCCATGGTGGGCGTGTTCTTTGACACGCCCGGAGCCTTCTAGCTGGCCTAGCCGCCGACGTCAGCATTCTTCATGGGGCGTGATCGGAGGGCCAGTTAGCTAACTGAAGTAAAACTAGCTAGCACGTAACGTAGCATCATATAATTAGTGACGTTTAGATTTTTAGATGTAGTGCTTTAGATTTTTTTTGCGGGGAATCCTGTTGAATTCTGATTGTGTTATTTGTGTTTAACAGCATTTTTGCTTGCTTGGTGGTCGTACGAGTAAATGTGACTGGTTGCTGTGAGTTTGTTCTTGTTTCTTTGGTCATGACATTGATTTGGACGATGCGATGTCTATTTGTGATGCAGCATCCTGTCATGCTGTGTAATAGTGGTACATCCTTGATGGTTTCAGTCACCATGTATTCATGTCTCTGCAATTAGTGTATTGTAACTCTCAAAGGTGTTGACCCTCGTGTTAAATCACTTTATTCCACTCGATGAAGGTTAATGTCACTGAATATGGGGTGGTTACATCTTATAACAATAGCCTATATAGCCCTAGTGTCACGGTGAGGTTATTTGAAGGCGGTTTAAATGCGGGAGGATAGCACTGAAGGCCTAGGTGTAAAATATACGGCCTGCCACTGCTCATAAGTATTATTTCAACAGCATATATAAGCAGAACTCCATTCTGTATCTCTACGTATAAATAAAACATTTGATTCATTGGACTATTGCACTGTTTTTTCTTCAAACTAGTACATGTGGACACAGACATTCATATATAGATGTAAGGTTTATTTGTAAATATAGCTTAGTGGATCTATCATTAACATGACTTGCACTAAAATGACATAAAAACAGATTTTGACTTTAGATTTAGTCACTGGCAAAGCTGGTGACTGTAATGTATGGTCTCTTGCCTGCTACTGTGCTCCCTAGCAATGTGCTGTCCTGATGGCCTTCATTGTTGGCCAGCGGTCTACCCTTTGGTAAGCTGTGTTGGGTGGGCTACCGTTTGGTGGGCTCGCATATTTTATATATACCGATGTTGAAGTATTCCACAAACCATGGTCGTTGCCAACATAAGTGTAGTATTCCTAGAGAAATGTTCAATCATTCAGGACACTCGCTAATGATCACATGGGTGGATATCTTAAAGTTGTATCATGGTCGTGGTATCACAAGATGCTTTTGTTAGAAACCCTTGCTCATGCCACTGTGTGCGTGAGCAATATTTTGACCCAACCGTCTACGCTGGAAGAGGTGGGAATACTCATACTTTAATTCCATCACATGTGACCTGTCGATCGACTAACCGTGGTGTACCCATTTTTACTGCTGGGTGGACAGAGATGTGAGGATTTTAGAAACTTGCCCCAGTTTTTTTCCCTTGCCACGTTAAGAGATCAAAGTGGAAGCCTCTGGATTGCACGTCCAGTCTGCTAACCATGACACCATGGCAGCATCCCTATAATGTAGTAACCTTGCGAAATACATACGCATTGCATTTGAATAAAACGTATCAAATGGATGCCTCCTCCACGGATGTGGCACCAGGTATTGCATATCTCTTTCACCACATTATATTTCCAAGAGTAACACAATTTTCTACTTCTGCTACATCTCTGTAATTGTAATTTCAGTTTACATCATAATACATGCTCCATAAATGTTTAATATAGTATTATAAGCGTGTTTATTTTCACAAATGCACACGTGCTTTTAATTTTGTTCACAACTGCAACATTTCATATCATAGATTAGTTTAGAGTTAAACTTTATAACAGTGGTGTTATAAAATAAGTATTGTCATAACCTTAAAATAAATCACTTTCCTATTGTTTTCAGATAATATCAAAGCACCTGAGTCACTGATCTTAGCTGACCATTTAATCGAACAAAGCATTGTCAGATGGAAAATTGGACAAATTTTAAAATGTATCAGGTTTTCAAAACCCAAACCATTAAGAGTGGTGATCGTCACCAAGATCTATTCGGATATTTATTTTCCATATTGTTAATGGACAATTCAAGCACGTTACAACCATATTTAAAGTTAAACTGCAGACCGTGCATCCTTGTATTATGCATATAGTTATCATTTTAGCCAAATGCATATTTTTTTGACAGATGTAACTGTTATAATCAGGCATCTCTACTATCGCTAAACTAATATTACTTCTTGGAACAACTTGCCTCCATCTACCCCTGTTAATCCTGCCATATTACAGGCGCTGAAAAAGCTTCCATAGTCTTTGGTTCTATTCGGTAAAGTCACGTAGGTAAAAAATAAAACAACAAAAAACAAAAATCACGACGTTTCGGCCACAACACAAGAGGCCTTCATCAGGTGAAGGGACCAGACTGTCTCAAAGACTGCGCTGGAGTGAAACAGAGCCAAGCTCAGACTACGACCTTTAAGCTGTGTGAGAGGGATTAAGGTGCCTTGACAAAGGAATTAGCGTATAAATTTGCATTTGATTGGCGGACTTAGCAAGATGAAAGGTGCAGCACACGGCAGTGCACCTTTAAGCTGTGTGAGAGGGATTAAGGTGCCTGACCAGCGTAGGTACGTCGGGGTTTAGTCCATGTTGTACCAAATTTTCAATTATATCAATGGTATCAGGTACCGGAACCTTGGTGAACAAGGAGACCACATCGAAGTTGACAAGGATATCTAATTCCTTTGTCAAGGCACCTTAATCCCTCTCACACAGCTTAAAGGTCGTAGTCTGAGCTTGGCTCTGTTTCACTCCAGCGCAGTCTTCGAGACAGTCTAGTCCCTTCACCTGATGAAGGCCGCTTGTGTTGTGGCCGAAACGTCGTGATTTTTGTTTTTTGTTTTATTTTTTACCTACGTGACTTTACCGAATAGAACCAAAGAGTATGGATCCTTGCAGTCACGAAAGCTTCAAATCTAGAAGCCTCCATAGCTGTAGCTGCTATAAGCAGTTTTCCATTCAGTATGAGATAGCCCTCTTTGAACTCAGTGGAGGACTTATTCGATGAGTGCGGCAGCTGTGGCGTCTCGGACTCCTTTGAGGAAGGGCAGGATCGCCGTGCCACCTGTGCCCTTCTCCGCCAGGGCGAAGCCGGCTGGCGAGGTCGCCTCCCGCCTCGCTCGTGCCGACTGCACCGTGATGTACCGCGTCACAACGGCAATGTGGTCCGAGCGCAGCCGCGTCAGGGCGGACACGCAGGCGTTGTACGCCGCACGGGCCGAACTCTCGGGCGGCGTGGAACGCGAAACAAAGTGGCTTCGAATGGAGGGCCCATCGGCGAGCCAGCAAATGAATTCGCTGTGCCGTGGTAGCATGTACTCCCGCATTCGGGCCAGGAATGATCCTGTGTTCACAAAGGAGACAATAACATTTTGGTTGGATAAGCACATGAATCCAAGCACGGCTCAAGGTATCCCTGGATTTACGAACGTTTGGTTTACGGATGTGTGTTGAACTTCTCGCGCGGTACGTAGCCAAACGTGCTAAAGTCGGAGGTGCGAAATTTTCGCGCGAACGCAATTGAAAAATCATGGACAATTTTTCGCTGAACGAAATTGAATTTCAGCACGAAGGAAAATTCACATGGCACGTGCCATGAGATCACCAAAACACGAAGTGCCGGTTGCATCATCCATTCACGGCGGTGTTACGGTATCCTTACAGTGCAACAATAACGCCTCTACATCACATTTCCAGTCATTCCAACATGCGGCTCTTTTGGTGAGTTCCCTGAATGGGTAAACGTTTATTTTTTGCTTCGAATTAATCATCCCTTTAACATGTGTGCAGATGCAATCCACAGGACCAGCCCGTCGTGGTTTGCATCTGCCTCGAAGAGCTTTTCAGCCAACCCGCCACGGCTCATGTCCAGCTCGCCTTGCAAGGGGGCCTAGCTCATTGGTGTTGCCGTGCTGCACTTTTACAGGCTGCATGGGGGTTTCTGGCATTGCCTTGCACCGGTTTACTTCCTACCACCGCGATCAAAAGAAGTTTGTTGGCTCTGAAGGGCAACATTGGGACGCGTGTTCTATTCCCTTCGATGTGCCTCAGGGTTTCGTCCTCGGCCCACTGTTGTATTTCATTTGTGGTAGCCAGGTCGCTTCTGAAAAATAAGTGAATGCCTCAGGTGGCTTTTGTCTGGTAGAATGGGGATGGTTTAGTTTTATGTGTATGTGTTGGGTGCTTTGTTTACCGTTTTTGTACTTTTTACGACTATCGTGTGTTTGTACTATTGTTGTAATGCTCTTACCCGTCCCTACTGGACATCTCTGGAAAAGAGCATTATAGCTCATCGGATTCCTCCAGTATAAATATTCTGATTCTGATATATTACCCCCCTCGGCCATGTTTTGCACAAACTCGGCCTCGGCTTCCGTTGTTATACTGCAAATCTTCACCTCAAGCATCGGATTTTACTCTAGACGAGTTTTGTATGAAATCCATGTTTTTTTCCTTTCAGTTGAATTTTTATGAGACGGAGGTGTTTGTTGGGTCCCCACACCAACTTTCCAATGCTGGTTCGGTCCATCTGACAATCGATAGCCACAATGTTGGTGCTGCTCAGGCAGTTTGCAGTCTTGGTGTTGTCCTTAATGTCTCGTCACCTTTGAAGCACACATTAACAAGATCACTAAGGCTTCCTTTTTTCATGTTTCAAAAATCTAACTAGGCTGTGCCCCAATCTTTCACTATCGGACACTGATAAGCTGGTTCATGCTTTTTTTTAATCTCGTATTGACTTGTAATTCACTGTTTTATGGCACCCCCCATTAACACTGTAAACGGTCACTTGCAACACCTGCAGAAGCGGCTGCCAGAATTCTTAAGGGCACGCTGAACACATAACACAGTGCCGGATTAAGCTAGTGCGGGGCCTGTAACATATGTTATAAAGGGGCCCTAAATATTAAAAAACACACACACAAATGTTTAAACACAATTTTGTAACTTGCATAATAAAGTAATTGTATTTTTTCATTTGCTATACAGCCAAATAATACGACTAATCGCTAACCTTAAACACCCAGTCGTTCGTAAAAGTTGAAGGCGGTATAGTACTATAGTAATAGAGCAAGTGCAGAATCACTGAACCGGAATTGATAGCTTAAAAGCATTTCGCGCGGGGTCCTTGAAAGTGCCGGGCCCGTAGCATGTGTAGCTACTTTTTGCTATTAGGTTAATACGGCACTGACATTAGGCCTGTGCTGGTGTCTCTCCATTGGCTGCCGGTCTGGTTTTGAGTAGAGTTCAATAATCTTGGCCTCACCTACAAGGCTCTAAACAATGCTGCCCTCTCATACATACAGGACCTCCTTCCCCCATGTGTTCCCACAACTGTACTTTGGTATTTAGAGTCTAACCTGTTGTGTGTGCAACGATGGGTGACTGGACCTTTTTTCGTGTCACCCCCATGCTGTGGAATTCACTCCTGGACATTCGCTCTGCTGATTCCCGCACTTTTTAAAATAAAGCCTTAAGACGCACATCAAGATTTTTTGCGCATTTTTCTATTCATTGAATCCTTTGCTCTGGGGTTGTATTTTATTGGTGTGAGCCTGAGTTTTTGTGTTTTGAACAGTGCCTTGTGACCTCCAGGTGAAATATGCTTTAGAAGTGTCAATTAATATTTCAGTATTATGTTGTGGCTCGGCCATAAAAAAAAATCTTCACATTTATGTCTCCATACTCTTTGGTTATTTTGGTAAAATCACGTAGGTAGAAAAATAAAATAAAATGGATTCCTGCAGTCACGAAAGCTTCAAATCAGTATTTATGTCTCCGGCTGACAGGCAACAAAAATGTGTTCAGCAGTAAAAAATAACTATTGTCATATTTGTAACTATGTAATAATTATTTTTTGTTGGTTTTTTTTACGTGACTTTACCGAATAGAACCAAAGAGTAACTATGTAATAACTTGAATACAAAGCAGACATTAATATAGTTGTGAGTTTGTATTACTGTACTTTGTCCATATAACACCTGAAGGAATTCGGAGAGATAAATCAGACTAGAGATGGGCCGATAATTGCCGGTTACCTCTGGATCAAGGCCAAGTTGTTGCGGTAAGTACTGCAGTGCCAATTTATCACACTCGAATTTCGGCGTCCTACGGCTGCCTTTTATAGCTCCTGCCGACAAACTAAATCTGGACTCCATTGTATGTACAAAGACATTTGGGGGGTTTTTTTGGAGGGGGAGGAGGTCGAAACTTTTTGGAATCCTGTTGGATCAACTTTGTACCCCCCCCCCTCACATCTGAGGGTGCGTCCACTCTCTGTTACTTTTTGATTCAGGCCTTCTGAATAATTTAGTTGACAAACAAATTGACAAACGGAACGCCGGGCTTTTACAATAGCTATTTAGAGGCAAAGATGCTGAACAGAAGCTGTTGTCAGTTTACCGGTGGTGTGTGTTTTCGGTGCGGGTGCAGTTTTTGATTGGTACCATGCTTCGGATCGTGTTCAATGCCCAGGGCCGCATCAAAGCAGTGCAAGAGAGAGCTCTGTGCTGCACTGCCCCCAGAATACATGTAGGGGGTGTCTCCCACTCCTTCGTAATGCAGCCCATCGAGCACCGGGTTGTCCATCCACCTGTTTCACACACATACGCGTGATCTATGCTAAACATCACGAACGTCGGTTACATGTATGCAGCAGATCATCACCGCAGGAGGAATCCAATGAGCTATGAAGCTATTTGTTCACCGGACGTCCAGTAGGGGCACAAGGGGTCAGAACGTGACACCAACAAACAGCACACACACAAACACCGAATAGTAGTAGTGCAGAGGGCAAGAGAGTTGAACAAATCACAGAAACACACGGAAATATACAACACTAAACCACCCCTCATCCTTCGAGTATCCCGGCAGCTTCGAGGGGGAAGGGGGTGCCGGATTTCCAAAAAGCCAGATAATCATTTAAAATAGCTTTTTTTTTTGCATATTCTTGTATGACATTGTGTTTTTAGGTGTTGTGTGTAGGTTTTTTTATTTTTAAAAATTTGTTCACTATGTGAAATTGCCATAAATAAACATACGAATAGACAAAAGTAAATATCCTCCTTTAAAAAGTTGCTGTACCATACTTACCACTCCGATATCTACTAAGACTCTGCATGGGGTGATGTATATACGTGCAGTATTTTCATTATTTAAGTTGTATGTAGTGTATAATGTAGTGTATATAATATTTGACACTGAAATCAAGCTGAGCTACTTTGTTTTGTCACGCACGAGGTGCCGATCGCCGGACTGGTTACAGCCTTTGGAACGGTTTCGCCGGATCGGCCCGGGACCGCCGGATAATATAGGAAATAACCGGATAATCTATGATCTACTGTGTGTAAATAGCGGGAAGTTCCCGGCGTTGCCCGGGTGAAAAAGGTAGACACGCACATTGACCTGCACACACTTGCAGACATTGACCCACACACACAAAGACATCGACTTATATATGCACACACACACACATGGACTGACACACACACATCGACTTCAGATACACACACATGGAGTAACACACACACATGTACTCTCACACACACATGCACGTACACACGCATAAAGAAAAGGACTTACACACTCACATGGAGCCACGCACACACATTGACCGACACACGCACACATCGACACACACACACACATGGACCCTGAGACACACACACATCGACTAACGCACACACAAACATACGGACTCGCACACACAGACATCGACTTTAGATACGCACACATGCAGAGACACATCGACGCACACGCACAAATGCACCTACACACACTCAAAGAAATGTACTTACACACTGACATGTAGGCACACACACACATGGACTCACACGCACACATGCACCTACACGCACACAAAGTGATGGACTTACACAGTAAAATGGAGCCGCACACACACATCGACTGACACACAGATATATCAAGTTATGCACACACACATCGTAAATAGTACTGAATGTTCTCACACATACAGACCATACACACACACATCGACTAACACACACACATCGACTAACACACACATCGACTGACAAACACACAACGACTAACACACACATCGACTAACACACACACATCGACTAACACACACATCGACTAACACACACACACATTGACTAACACACACACATTGACTAACACACACACATCGACTAACACACACACATCGACTAACACACACACATCGACTAACACACACACACACATTGACTAACACACACACATTGACTAACACACACACATTGACTAACACACACACATCGACTAACACACACACATCGACTAACACACACACATCGACTAACACACACACACATCGACTAACACACACACACATCGACTAACACACACACATTGACTAACACACACACACACACATCGACTAACACACACACATTGACTAACACACACACACATCGACTGACACACACATACATCGACTAACACACACACATATCGACTAACACACACACACACATCGACTAACACACAGATAGATAAAGTCATGCACACACACATCGACTTATACACGCACGCACACGGACGTAGACACACATGGTGGCAGACACGGACAGGGACTCACACGCACACAAGGACCTCGAGGCCATTTAGAATATATAAATATAGATAAAGGTAAATGGTAGTAGTCAGCACACAAACATAATGATTGTAATATTTGCGAGTTTACATACTTCCAAGGTGCTTTTTTTTCAAGGGCAGGTTTCTATGTATGTGAATTTAGCGAAAGAAGCAATGAATGGAAAGAATAGTGTTCTGCACAGTAACATTTTGAATGTATAATAATACTGCTCTTTGCTTAGGAAAGCTTCGTGGGATAAAAAAAAAATCTAGGTATCCAGAGAAAACCCGTGTATACAAGGAGGTAACATCCACAGTACCATACAGATGGATTAAATAAACCGTAGATGTAATCTCATAGCCCGAGCCAACAACACGAGGTATTCCCAGGCAGTCTAACATCCAACTACTGTATAATACTAACCAGGCTCAATCTAGCGTAATTGTCTTCAAAGTTAATTGTTCATAGATATAAGCTGTTGTACCATGCTACAACTGACTTTTATACAATTAAGCAAACTAATATCAGTGGCGAGTGAAATATGAATTGTTACATAGGTCCCCACTTTCACTAACCCAACATGACCAGTATAGTGAGGTGGGGTCAAACAACTCCATGGCTGACATGGCATGCAAAGGTCATCCAGCAATTGGTTGACACAAAGTTGTAAATTGTTATTATGAGATAGCAATGACTGGCAAGTACATAGATTCAACGCTGTGTCATATACTGTGTTTTAGCATATACCCAGATAGGAAGATCCTGATTACTCCAAAAAATACTGCAGGGTCGACGTGATCTATAAAAACACAACCATAAAACCTGTAAAAGTATGCATTCGTAAATTACATTTAAACATCAAGTTTGCAGGGTTACTGACATTCTCTTCATTTTTGATGTTGGCAAAGCATACTGTAATGTCATGTTTTTTCTTGTATGTTTTACATTTGTATACAAATGCAGCATAGTACACAACTAAAAAACATCTCATCGAGGCTATAATCACATAAGGCTGGCAATTCCACAATTCCTCCCATCCATATTTAATGATATTATTTGCCATGGCAAAACAATTAATCTGCCTAGCGTAGCATTTTATCTAACCTGTCATGGAACGGCTATATTACTGTCTAAAAATGCATAAAAAGGCTTTTTTTATCTTGTCAAAGCATCATTGAGCTCCGAACAAATGGTTACCCCTGTACTATATAAAGCACCAATTTTGGAATACTGTTGTCATATCTGTGGTGGAGAACTCAGTTCCTTACCTCATTGTACGTATGTTGAATTGGAGGTGCGTCACCTTCGATGAGTGAGTACCGTAATAGTCACCTCCAATCACTCACTGGCGGTCAGTCATCTCCTTGGTCCTCTTCTATCACCACTACAATGGTTACTGGGCCTGTCACCTTCACTTGTTGATCACTTCATTCATCATTGGAAACCTCATTTGCCAGTAACAAAATATGATAATTGGTTTTGTTACCCTTTTATCTGGCAACAAAACTGACACCTTTTTTTTTACAAGGGGTCATGTTTACATTGACCACAATACCTGCGGTCGGAACGCAAACAAAAAACAACTCTGATAATGTATGCACTGTCCTTGAAATTGATTGGTCGACACCCGAGACAGCTTTCTTTAGAGCCTCGTCTCACATGACCCCTTGTAAAAAAAGGTGTCAGTTTTGTTGCCAGATAAAAGGGTAAAAATCCAATTATCACTTCATTCATGTTCAGGAATAAGTCTACCAAGCTGCCGGTTTTGTCTCATCCGTAGTGTGCTCACACACCACACTGCACGTTAAGCACGTATCTTTCTGCTTCTTCTCTCGCGCTCTACGACTTTGGAATTCCCTTCCATTGTTTATTTTCCGAAGCTCTTATAACCTCACTCAATTCAAGAAACGTGTTCACTGGATAGTTGACATTTCTAACCGGGGGCCCGTGGCTCAGCAACCCCCATTAAAAAAAATCACGAGACATTGGTATCAAACAATGCAATTACAAATTACTCTTTGCATACAGTTTTGGCAGCTCGAACAGCTTTAATCCCTGGTATTCCACTCAGATGATCTAACCTTAAGGCCAGCCCTCTTGAATGTCATGCTCACTGTGAGCTCATGAAGAGATGGGCTCAATGCCAATGTTTGTAATAGCTCGAGTCTGAGGTTAATGCAGGCACACCATGCATGGTGGACAAGGCCTTTATCATGCCGTGTATCGCTTCGGCCACCTCCAACAGCGACTCTTTCAGCGTGGCCTCATCTGCAGCTCTCACGGCCTCCACACATTTCACCAAGCCCTGGGAGAATGTGCAGGCGTTGGGAGGAATCGGAGGTGGGAAAAGAGGCAACATTGTTACCATTAAAAGTCAGCCATGATCTCTGAGATGCACATGAGCAGAGATTGATCATCTCGGTGACATCGCTGAGATTAGCTCAGTTTCAGAATGCATTGTACTGTATTTTATAGCGTCTAATGTTATAAAAAAACACGTAGTTTTCTCCTTTCCAGACTCGCTAATTTGTTACTTTCTTACTGCAATCTCGGTGAATCTGTTATATATTTTGATTTAAAGCTTTCGTGACTGCAATGATTCATATTCTTGGTTCTTTCGGTAAAGTCACGTTGAACGGAAACAATAAAATATATATTTTATTGTTTCCCTTCAACGTGACTTTATACATTTGGACTTTATACTGGTAGGAACGAAGTTGTAAACTGAGTGTACCAGCCTGCAATAGATTAATGTGTCCGTCCGTCCCCTTTCAATACTTTAACGAAGTGAAATCTCGTGCTGTTGGGTGTAAAATCAGCAATAGACAGAGCAGAGACTTGTCCTACCAGCCCACCCTGCAGGGACCTGTTACATTTGGATGAGAAAGACACTGCAGCAACTGAGACTCCCATTACGAGAAACGGGGGAACAAAGCCCACAGTGTAACACATGTATTGCCACATTCCTCGGTTACAGCTCAGTAACGTGGCAATACATGTGTTACACTGTGGGCTTTGTTCCCCCGTTTCTCGTAATGGGAGGCTCAGTTGCTGCAGTGTCTTTCTCATCCAAATGTATACAGAATTATTGACGTTCTGCTGCATCACCATTCACTTACAATGATGCCCGGAACAGCGGCGAACTCCACCATGACGGTGCAGAGGAAGAAGTATCGACTGTTGGCCCCACCTGGGAGTCTCACCAACGTATCCAGGTTTCTGACCACGGCATCATACAAGGGACATGGCAACTTTACTTAACCCCGGATGGAGGTCACGGAGAGTTTAGGACAGACGGTAAGTAAAGTCTGGAACTGTGAACATCTTGCACCGCCCTTTGCAAAGCCATTTGTGGGTGAAAGCTTCCCTGTTCCGCAATGGTCATGGAGGTTGTGTGACCACGGTTCATGCTGGTCAATGCGGGTTCGTGAATGGGGGGGGGGGGGGAGTTATGACCAGATTAGCTATCACACGCCACTGATGTTAATTATTGGCTGGGAATCGATCTTGACTCAGAGTTCACAACACAGCGCGTTATCCACTGTGCCACCACTCCCTCCTGTGGATATTTCAGTACAGATGATAATCCATCTTGGATTTAATAATTAGGAACATAATTTTTTTTAGTTTCTCTTTACAATGTTTCAGATTCTCAAAGGCAATTACATTAAATTGTGTTATTCGGAATGTTTGATCACACTTTCTGCACTAATATAAAATGGAGAAAGATTATTTCCATAACGATTTTTGTTGTTTGTTATGAGGCTATTTGTCAATGGCTTGGGGAAGCCTTCATCCAGGAGTAGATTGATCCACTGTTGGCCTCCAATGCTGATGGTGAGGACTATGATGATACAGGCAATGTGGATAGTGATGTGTTGGTCATCATGAAGTCCATCCCGTACTTTCATTTGAAGTTCCAAACAGTTCAGAAACCTGTTCGCTAGTACTGGGGTTGCTCTGCAAGAGGACGTCTGTGTAAATATCAACCATCTATCGACTCATCTTCTTGGTTCTTTCGGTAAAGTCACGTAGAAGGGAAATAATGAAATAATAAAACATAATAAAATAAAATTTTCACGACGTTTTGGCCACAACACAAGCAGCCTTCCTCAGGTGAAGAAACAGAACTGTCGGAATAGACAGCGCTCTAACAGTGATCAATCGACTGTAGGATGAAGGCCTCCCCAATTCGCCCCTACTCTGCACAGTCCCCTGATGCCGCAATCCATCTCTCCCACGCAGGAGCTGATCTCATTGCTCTGTCTTCCACAGCCGTTACAGCAGTCTCCGATGAAATCCCTCGATGGCTGCCATTCTGTGTCAACAGTCTGGTCCGTCAACCATCATCCCTTGTAGCGTGACCACACTTATGGTGTCGTGGCACATGCCTGTTTGAACTTAGAATCGTAGGATACGGTCGTGCGCCATGGTCATAATGTGTCACCATCCGATTAGCACGGGTGGCTACGTAAGGTGCGAAAGAAGTTCAATATACACAATACATCAATAACGACACTATCAAGTTTTGAAAACTGGATAATGCAGAGAAGAAAGTACAGTACAGTATTTGCTTTAATGCAATTAAAGATGAGACTAAGCAATGGAATCTAGTGCTGCCACCTGATGGATTGGTTGTAGTGAGGACATTGAATCTGAATGTGCCTAGTTGGTTTATTGAATGGTGTCTTTCCTGTCTAAAATAGAATTGTGGCCCACTTACTCAATCGTCATGGGTCTTCATTCAGGACCAAAAGGACATGTCAAAAAAAGAAAAACAATTTATGTACGCATTAAAAAGACAGCGGTAAAAAATATGCTCGAAAAAATATCAAACAAGTGTAAGCAAATGTAAGGAGTATCTTTCACCTCAAGCGTACAGTACACTGAAATGTTTTCCACAAACTTATTATTTGGCATATGACTTTCCTTATTTGTTTACAAAAATACAATATCTCTAATGTGCAAAACAAAGTCTATTCAATATGCGGAATAGCCTATATGAAATAATTGTGTACTTCTATATTGCAACGAATACGATATGACAAACGTTATTAAACATATAGTGTCATACACTACAGTTGTTACACAATGCATTGTTTTTAAATGCTGCAACAACACTCTCGGTAGTGTCATATGCATTCCTACTGAAGCTTACATATACATTTCTGTGTAAATGTAATTTGGGCAGGAGGACCTAAATTAACATTTTGAAGACATGGTCGAGGCACATCACTTTTAGCGAATTGTCCCATTTTGGTAATGCAGACATGAGTGTGTTTTATTTTAAAACATTACAAAGTAAACATTTTATTAATAAATAAACGGCCATGGAGGTGTATCTTTGTGTTTAAAAAAAGAATAAGACGAGTCCAAGGGTTCATCCAAAATAAGCATTTTCCAAGGTGAGAATCAGGCCCCCCATGCCCGACAAGTACCCGTCGGCATCTCGTCTCCTCCAGTTGGCAAGGACGCCATCGGCGTGCACGATAATGGGAGGGAGGCCCAGGCACTTGGACACAGCGCAAAACGGCACCGCCACGCTTCGGGGCAGCACCTGTACCCAGAGCAGTGTTCATTTTATAAGGAGAGAAACATGGGCTTACACAACATCATCATCATCATCATCACGATAATCAGTTGGTTAACTTCGCATAAGACGTGTAGTGTTGTATAATGACGAATAAACTTCTTATGAGGCACACTCTGTTTATTGTCTTTCTCCTCTGACACGGTCCCTAATACACAGAGGGGTATACGGTCCCCTCACACGATACCCTAAGAAGGTACAGCCTCCGGACTTAGCATGACCTACACACAGGTCTCTTCCTAACCTAAGGAGGTACAGCCTCCTATCTTGGCGGGACTTACTCTCAAGTCTACCGCTATCCTAGAGTCCTCCGGCTGGGACCTAGGGGAGGCTATCTGACCCACCGCTGGCCTTGCGGGTCCTAACCACTGGATACGCCGAGCCTTAGCCCTCAGAAGGGCTGGAAGGCTGGGTCCAGGGTCCTGTCTATCTTCAGCCCGGGTTTCGGTCTTCGTGTAGGGAGAGAACTCCCCGCGCTCTGTGCGGTCACCCTTCTTATACCCGTTTGTGGCCAGGTCTAACCAATCCCACATTCCCACGTGGAACTGTCTGATTGGTTCTTACCAAACTGTGGCTACGATCCACTTCACCTCGTCTGACCCCAACCGTTATTCACACAGAGAGGTAACGCTGCACTGCCCCTTTGATACATAGTGGCAATGCAGGTTACCGAACAGTGAGTAGTTAGCACCTCTACAGACGTAACAAGCTGCCTTTTTCGGTACGTTTGAAAGTGCATTGCTTGCAAAGTTAAAAGATAACTTATGCATGGTGATGTGGGGGACCAATATCGCGGGTCCTATTATTGGCGAGGGTTATCAGTGGTTTTACTCCATTTTTCCATGGGATAAAACTTCACGGATGATATGATTAATTTGCAACATAACTTATCTTTTGTGCAAAAAAACATTATCGATAATAGGAAGCCGTTCTGCGTATAACTGAGGGAAAACAGAGATTATCGTAGATAATTGTAAGAATAGGATCACTGATAATGATAGGAGTTTTCACAGACCCACCTGCTTTCCCTAAAATAGGAGCCAGAAGTAATGGGGTAATGGATAAAAGGAGTTCTGTAGCTGTTACATTTTACCTCGGCAATAGCTATTTGTGAATGTGGTATGTTGTTGGTTTTGAACAGTTATTTGACAGTATTAAACAAATAACGACTCATCGAATGACTGAACGTTTAGGCGATATCCAGATCTCAGAGAGGATTTATTTTGCTGGGCAGAAGCCAATGTGACAATGAAATGATGCATGAGGAGCAGTGGGAGGCTGAGGGAGAAGGGTGCAGGAATAAAGTGACCTTGGTGGGGGCTTTGTCTCCTTCTTGCCACACAACACCTGACGTGATGAAGCTGAGAACCAGGTGAGCTAGGCGAAGCTGGCGATGGCTCTGGAGAAGCCCAATGCTCAGCTCAGGCATCTGGAGGACACCGGTAGAATATTGTAGAAAACACTGGTGAACAACTGCACACGTGTTCATATAAGTTACGTAATGGAGTAATAGCTGATGTGTACACATGGAACAAAGGAGGTTTATCTAGATGACCTTTTGCTGCAGTCTAAACAGTATAACCGTTAGAATGTAATGCTACAGTGCAATGATGCCCCTATGTGGCAAGACATGAGTTAAGCACTGAGCTTAGAAAACCACAAGGAACCGTCAGATCACCACAGGGATCACATTGTTCCATTTCAGGTGTGGCCAAATAAGAATAACAACTTTTTATTCAAAACAATTTTCTCACTCACGTAGGGTTTATCTTCCTAATTCTATTTTTTTCCACTCATTCCAAATCAGTACAATACCGAGAACACCCAATGTAGTAACTTTTTAACGGCAACTTGTGAATGAGAAGCGTTTGGCTACATATTTCAGACTTTGCTGCTTGTTCTAAATGGGGACTGCTGTATGTTTTGGTTATGTGGTTCATTATATTTTAAGTCTTTTTTTAGAAGAGTTATATTCGTAATGGGCAAACATTTCTCACACCCCGACTGAGACACCAGATTATGCTTGACATTGTATCGGCCTAAAACCCACAGCAAAGTGGTGCTGTCGAAATAAGAATGCAAAATGTTATCTTTCATATATATGTACAGCATGACCTTCTTTCACACCATACGTAGCCAACCATGCCATTTGGAGGTGCGGGATATATTATGCAGCTATGAATTTTATCCATGACCATACTTTCAAGCATACCTTTTAGGGATATTTTATTCGCTCTGTACAATTGCTCATTGGCATAGCGTGGTTGGCATGGGGGCCCCTGATACAAGAAATAAAGCTGGGCCCTTTGTTTGCCTTCTCCCCTTCTTCGTAGCTTGGCGTCTGTGCCCCACCAGCTCATAGTCCCCGATGCAGTTGCACCGTCTGCACGCTCGATAGCTACACCACTGCGACTGCTCAAGAAGACGCTGCTGCCGTTTAATAGTGCTGTATAAAATATTGAGAACAAAAAAGAAATAACGTCATTGTAAATGTGCTGACAGTGATACCTTAGCCATTTTATGGCATGCCAGTTACGGTAGGAATATGCAAACGCACAATTTGCAGCGTATTAGGAATTTACAACATACAAGCTCAAGCGTCGTGGCAATGTTGTAACAACCAGTCAGTACCAGTGGAAAGCCGTGAAGGACAGACACGTGCACCATGTGAACTGCGAGACCGAGTCCAGGTTTCGAGTTGGAGTTCGGAAAGAAGTCGTGAACGTCCATCGGTGTTTGCATGCCGACACCAAAGGCACCCTGGGATATTACAGGGTGCTTCAAAAACGTTTATTTTTTAACACTTATATGAGACTATCGTTTTTAATGGAAAAAGAACGGATAATGCACTGCAACATTCTAACAAATGTAATGTTAATAGCTTCAAAAAGTCTCCCACTTGTTCGCCATCGTCGTCAATGCGTGCCCTGGAATCTTCTCCAGGTGATCTCCAGAGCCGGAAGGCAGCAACACATTTCTTGTGGTAATATTGCAAATTCTGTTCTTTATTAAGCACCCTGTATATTTTAAAACAATTAAGCTACCGAACTGGACATGATCTCTAATGCCCGCAAGTGCTACACAAGTAGCAAATGTACTTCGTGGGGTGTTTTCAAAACATACCGTACCTGCATTACCCGCTCCCGCAGAGTATGTGTCTCTATGAGCTCTGTAAGGTTGGCGGCAAGCTCCATCCATGGGGCATAGTATTCAGGGAGGCTGGTCTGCAGGTAACATCAGCGACAAAGAGCGGTCATATTAGTTTAACAGTATACGGTTATCATTATTGGCCATGATCTCACTAATTGCTCCTTCATCATTAGTCTCGATCAAAAGTCATCATCCCTCTTAGCATCGCGTTGCTCAAGCCCACTTACAGTCAATGTGATGTCAAAATTATAACCTGCGTATGTTTTAGAATCCACGTATTCCTCTTTGCGGTCGCGCAAGGTAATTAATTCCAAGCGTGGGCAGGACACAAGAGCTGTAATGGATGATGGTCAGTGGTCAAGGTTAATGACAGAGCGGCAGCCAACGGATGAAACATGCCCGAGAAGATATCCACCACAGAGATGGCAGTGGATACACCATGGTGATGATGGTGTTATAGTGGTACAATATAGGACACAATCATGAGCTATTGTAAATTATAATCAATTGCAGCACAGTACTGTATTGTAATTACGGGGATATCATCGGTGGCAAGTGCTTTCTGGCCGTTCCCTGGGCCCTCCTTTACCAACCCACACTCACCAGCGTGAAGCATGGTCAAACAACCCTCATGGCCCATATCGGGCAGCCCTTCATCCATCAGTAGGCTGACGAAGGGCTGTAAATTATTGTTGTAATCACAGTATACTGTACTGTCATGTATTCAATATGCGAAGATTAATGCGATGGAAGATTTTTTTACAGCATTAATAGGAAATAAAAAATAGTTTTGCATGCCGAATAAGCAGAGTAAATGACAATTTTTTTTTTACAAAACGAAGGAAAAGTTATGTTGATCACCATTGGTGAAGCCCCCCCCCCCCCCATCATTACTAAAAACATCTTCCACAAATTAACTTGCATGACGGACCAGCACCACACAACACACGCTCATCAAAAACATTTCACGTTCGTTTTACACCACAGTTTGTAAATGTGCAACTTTATACAAAGTATATAAAGTACAGAGAGTTATTGTCAGACGTTGTACATTGCTGGTGGTATCTGTGAATTCAAATAAAAGTAACAGCCTACCAAGGGATCCGGCAGAGCAAATCCACATGTTTTCGAAATGTGAAATTTCTTGAGAATCTTGTTCACCTCGGCTTCATATTTCTCGTGCATGACAATTCGTGTATGTTGTAATCCTTGCAGTCTTTACAATATGTTAGCGTCTTATAGAATGCACTCTCATCGGGCCACCAACTCCAAATGTGGAATGGCAGCTTCGTGACTCGAGCAGAGGGGATGGCCCAACCACATCTGTAAATGTTTAACCGAGTCCAGAATAGATGCCAGTTGACAAATGTGCTGATTGGCATACTTTTCCTATCCCGAGATTTCGATCAGTGGTTACTCATTTCAGTTGACAAATAGTTAAGTTGACAGGAGTGTAGCCATATTATAGAAAAAAGACTACGACTACTAAGTCTATAGTGAATTACTAAGTGACCCATCGTTTGCCTTGCACGGTCATAATTACCCGACTGTGACTTCTCCTTAACCATAGCTCAATGCGTCTCTACGAGTCTCAATGAGTTTCTCTATGCGCACCTCCGATTAGCACAGTTGGCTACGTACGGTGCGAAAGAAGTTCAACATACATGCATATCTCGATGGGTCTCTGTGAGACTGGGTTTACTATATGGTCCATAGTTTGGGTTGCACGGCCACTATCACACGACTGTGGCTTGCCTTTAATCTATCTGTTTCAACGTGCCTCGATGTGTATATGTCTCTCTATGGGTCCCTGTGTATCTCTGAGTCTCTATGTATTCCTACATGTCACGATGGTTATCCGTGTCTCTGGGTTTACTATTACAGTATAGTCCATGGTTTGGGTTGCATGTGCACATACCTACTATAATCACCCAGCAATGTCTGTCATTAACGCTCGTGACGTCACTCCACGTCGACCAGCCCCTCTCATTAATAATCATGAACAGGTGACGTCACTCCACATTCATAATAATTAGCGGCTTGACGTCACTCCACATGGGGGAGGGGCGAGGCGCCTCCTTCCCCCCTCCTCGGCGTCAACTCACAACCCTCACTACAAAGGCAGAACCCTCACGTCATCACGTGATCTCCGTAACGCTGTTGTTGTTGAGACATCAAAGTAACAAGGATTTTTTAATTTTGATTGAAAGCTCTCGTGACTGCAGGGATTCATATTCTTGGTTCTTTCGGTGAAGTCACGTAGAAAGGGAAACAATAAAATAATAAAAATATAAAACAATACAATTATCACGACGTTTCGACTGCAACACAAGCAATCATCATCAGGTGTGAAAACCACAGCAAGAAAATTTGAAAAAAGTGGCTTTAAATCAAAATGTATGTTTCATCAGTTAGCATTGTTCATGCAGTGTCATTGTCTACGGGGCCATCCATTGAGTAGGCACGCAGAAATCTGTCCAAACTTGACCCCTTCCCCCCTCTCTGTACGCACGCGGACTTTTTACCCCCCCCCCCACCTGCGTACGTTCGCCTGACCCCCCCCCCACCCCGAATCCTATAGAACGGCCGATATTTAATCCACGCAGAAACCATCAAGGATTAATAATATTAACGTGTTTAAGCAAACAGATAGTCCACCGCCGGACTATAATTAATTTTAAGGCCAATGTAGACAAATTATTATCGAGGCGTCACCCCCCCCCCCCCCCATTTCCTATGTGTACATTGTCAGTAGACCCCCCCCCCCCCCATACGCAAGCGTACGCATTTGGGTTAAGGGGCCGTCCATAAATGACGTCACGCGATTTTTGACGATTTTTGACCCCCCCCTCTCCACACGGCGTCACAAATTTTCAGGCCCCCCTCCCCTCAAATATGACGTCACAAAGCTCTGCCCCCCCCCCCAAACCATATTTCTGTTTTGAAAACAAAACATGCTTCAAATCGCTTTAAACTATTGTCATTGTAGTGCGTATTTAATGTGGCGCTGCACTCTGATGTTGTAGGAGAAAACATTTATTAAAAAGTCTGTAATTAAGTAGAACGTGAGGTCTATATTTATTTAAAGTTGCGCATTTTGATGTGACGTCACATTTCTCAAACCCCCCCTCGTCACACATCGTCACAAATGTCTGACCCCCCCCCCCCGAGGTGCGTGACGTCATTTATGGACGGCCCCTAACCCCCCCTCCCACCTCCATGCGTACGTACTAAATGGATGGCCCCGATATGCTTGTCATTGCAATGACGTCACCCGTTTATGACGTCATCGTTGACGGAGCCACACCGCGGTCATCGAACCCCCCCCACCCCCATGACGTAAAGAACCCTTGTGTTATCAACGTCATTTTTCCGGGGAGCGGGGTTGACGTCACAAGTGTTATTTCCCGACGTCATATACTGCAAGTGACGTCATTTTACGGAGGTGACGTCCTCGGAGCACCCACTCCCCCCCCTGACCCGCCCCCCTCTATACGGCGCCCGTGTGGACAAGCGCCACGGCGGAACGAACGATGCAGTCGATTAACATCGAGAAGCTCTTCGTTTACGACAGGTAAAGAGAGCGCGCGCCTCGTTATCAACACTCCTCGTCACGAGGGGCCGGCAGCGTCCCCGGGCGCGACGCGCGTTGAGCGCGCGTGCCCCCCACCCCCCACGGTGTTGTGTTTGGGGCCTGCGTCGGGGCCTCTCGGATGGTGGAGCCGCGAGACGCCCCCCCACCCCCCGGCTCCGCGTGCCCGAGGCCTCGTGCCCACGATACTGCCCGCTCGTGAAATTGGGTGGGTGGCGTTGTGGATTTGTCACTCCCGCTACCGCCCGAAGTTCGACGCCGCCGTGGATTCGCATCGCGGCTGGCCGATGTCCATCGCGGCTGGCCGCGTCTTCTACCCCCCCCCCACCCCCCACGCCTTCAACCCGCACTGCGCCCATCAGCGTTGGTGAATTACAGCCAAATAACCCCCCCGTCGACGACTCGCACGGCATGGACAGGAGAGAGAGGGGGGGGGGGTATAATCATCCAGCAGTGGATTGACAAAATGGGTGTTAGCGTTTACGACGAGACTGTGAGAGGTGATCTTTGCTTGATGAACCAGCGCAGAAGGAAGGAAGCGACGGCGTACCTGTCAACCCCTTATCAGTGCCTATCTTATTACAGACCAATTCAGACCTTATTGGTCACCCCGTGGCCTTATAAATCTCGACGTTTATCCTACAAAGCCCTATTTAAACGGCTGTACGTGGTAATTTCCCCTTCAAGAATACGGGGTAAACCGTATGGGTTGACAGCAAAGGAGAGGCGTTACTGAAATCTCGACGCTGGTTCAAGAGAGGGGTTCCATGTTGTCCACAGGTTCGGTGTCATCGTCTTTGCTGTGTGGGACTGAGGTTTCGCAAGCTGTACAGAGTGCCTTAAGTTACATAACTTGCCTATGACCGCATTAACTCGGAAAGCGACCGATCTCGTCAGATCTCGGAATATAAAGCAGGTTTGAACTTCGATAATGCTTGTATGGGTGACCACCACAACAGATTTACAGGCCGCGGGGGTTAGGTAATGAACACGAGGGCCGTCCAGAAAAATCCATAACTGTAGAGTGCTGTAATGTACTTCTACGCTCTCACGTTTTCAAAATCCTGCACCGACAGCGTGTTGAATTATGGTCGCATAACTTCCACAACCCCTGCACGGTGTGGCAAGGGCTGCATCCAGCAGGGGATTGACAAAAGGCTGCACATTCTTCTAGTACAAGTTACCCACTTAACCCAGGTGACGGGGCATTGACGTGAAAATAGATTGTGTAACTAAGGTAACTACTGATCATTGACACTTTGCCTAAGAGGAGACGTGGGATTTAAGATAATTCGTAAAGTTACGTGAGCGCTCATTGGCACATTTACAAGGGAGACTTGGAATGGAGAGTAGTTAGCCCAGGTGAGAACTCATTAGGATATGTCTTTAACTAATAGATACAATATTTTCTATCACAGGATTGTAATCATGAAGGGGTGGGAATTTTTATATCTCCAGGTTTCAGTTTAACATTTTAGGAATCAAAAGTACTTGAGATAAAGCTGTTCAGATAACAATAAGGCTCTGAAACCACTACAAATTATAGGTAAATCAAATATATGTTCCCAATAAGCCTTAAGATATAGGAGTTGCCCACAGTTAAGAAGTTAACCAACATGAAAATTGGGCCCAAACATACTATACCATTATATGAATTCAATTAAATATTAGGTAAAAGGAGAAGAGAGGATGATTGGCATATTTAAGTTTTGGAGAGAGGAACTAAAGAGAAGTGATCTTTCGTCTGGAGCAAGCAGAGATGTGAAGACCTTTTGAAAAAAAAATGTTCATAAATTTGGACCTGCAACAGCCCAAACGGAGAACTCAAATTACACTTCCTTGATTCTTTTTCACAAAATCCAGTTTGTCAGACTTGTCTCTGTCCTCAAATTTAGGATCACAGGCTGTTGTAATGCAAGTTACATGTTAGCATTGCTGGAGAGGATAACGCTAATAACACGAAAAACAAGGCACTTAACTTTCGATTGAAAGCTTTCATGACTGCAAGGATTCATCTTCTTTGGTTATTTCGGTAAAGGCACGTAGAATGAGAATAAAATAATAAATTGATAAAATAAAATAACACAGTAATATTCTCACGACGTTTCGGCCACAACACAAGCGGCCTTCATCAGGTGAAGGGACGAGACTGTCTGGAGGACAGCGCTGGAGTGAAAAAGCCACGCTCAGATCACGACCTTTAAGCTGTGTGAGAAGAAACAAAGCGCCTTGACAAAGGAATTAGCATATAATTTAGCCTTGAAATGGCTGAGTGATTAGCTTGTGACTGGTCACAGAAATGGCTGTGTTAAAGTTAAAGTATACACATCCGCAGAGGCACCTCTTGACAAAGGAATTAGCATAGAATTTAGCATTGAAATAGCTGAGTGATTAGCTTGTAACTGGTCACAGAAATAGCTATGTTAAAGTCAGAGCATATACATTCACCGAGGCACCTAGTACAAATCAAACAGGAGAAACGTCGTGAGAATATTATTGTGTTATTTTATTTTATCAATTTATTATTTTATTCTCATTCTACGTGACTTTACCGAAAGAACCAAAGAAGAAGGCACTTAACATTAAAAAATATACTGTATATTTATGTGGTAGGACATTATTAACTGGTTCTAAGCAACAATCCCTAGAAAAGCTAAAATATTCAATTGTTACCACTGTCAATACAATTGGCAATGTAATTGACAGTGGTAACATCAATTTAATCAGTGTAATTGACAGTGGTAACATCAATTTAATCAATGTAATTGGCAGTGCACTGGGAATGGGTGACAAAGTTAAACAAACAAAAAAACAATCTTCCTGAAACTACTAAATTTATTATGGTCTGCGATTACCATATCTCATGAAAAGTTTAAAATAATTCGGGGGGTGATTAAATGCAAAATAAAGTATAATATAAAATGTGTAAGAATAAAAAGAATCAAACAAACTATG